AGACTCTAAGTAAATCTACATAAGAATCCTAGAGGAAATAATCCTGGTTTCGCCTCGTGTGTTACCCAAAAATCAGCAAGGCGGCTTCAAAAATCATTGTATCACTAGCTTCTTGAATATGCTCTGGTAAAATTAAAACCCCCCAAGAACAACGCGAAAAATTAAGAAATGGAATAGAGAGAGAAATTGGGGGTTACTAAGGATCCCAAAAGCGGATTATACGCACACGCTTTTACAAACAAGATAGAATAGCGGAGGGGGGAACCTGGAAAGTCAGATTTTTGCGAAGGAGAGCGTTAGCCTGAGTCCAAAAGCTGGAAGAGCCCCTGGGCGAATCCGCCATTGATGACCGTTACACCCCGCCGGAGGCAACGGAATTTCGTAAATTCCCGCCAAGTATCAAGTACTGTAACTGTGAAACTGTTTAAGAGAACCAATCTCGTTCTTCTCCGCCTGCACTCCGCTCCTGCTACCCCTTTTTAAAGTTCAAGAATTTTAATCGAGGAAGTTTGAAGTCAACAACTTTAAACTAATCGAATCCAAAGCAAATCTTGGGGCCCTTCCGCCGTTTAAATATACGCGTTTCGTCTTAAAATGGTCCGTTCTGCTTACAACGTTCGGAATTGATTTGTTCATGAAATACCATATTAATATTTATTGCTCCGGATCTTCTCATTAATTTGTCAACGTTAGTATCAATTATTATCAGTCACAATATTCCAGTTTATAAATTTTTCATGTTCAATCCCTTGAATACACAACTATTTTCTCATATTCAGAGTACTGAGTTAATTTCAATTAAATGTAACAATAATTGGAGAATACCTCACGCAACATCTATCAATCAAGGATTCTCTAATAAATGTATTGATTTGCAATTTTTTTTAACACCACATGCAATTATTACTCTTTGAAACTTAAAATTTTGGTTCTGGCCAAAAAAAAAAAAGAAACTTGAAATATGGGGACAAAAATTAACAAAACTGAAAAAAAAAATGGTGGAGTAGGAGAAGATTTTTTTTTTTTTGGGCCAAATGAACTAAGAAGATTAATCAATGCAATTCTCCGAGGAAAAATATTATTCCTCCAGTCCTTAATATAAGACCTAATTGTTGAGTTGGTTTTGGTCCTAAATATAAGACCAATTTCTCATATTTATCAACTTTCTCTAAATTACCCATATGAATACTCCCTCAACTATAATCAAATAGAAGAGGAAGATGGGGTATTAAAAAAGATGATTATGGTGTTTTAGGAAAAATATGTCACATTTCTTATGATTAACTAACTTACCTAACTTCCTTAATCTAATCAAATTAGTTAAATGGGTCTTATATTAAGGACCGGAGGAGTTTTGTATTTTTATATTAAGCATTTAAAATTATTTTCACACATATTTTTCATTTCATAAGGAACTTCAATTCCATTACATAACCCCCAATCACATCCTAACAGTTTCAAAGAAATTTCATGGAAACTTCGGAGATCATTTCTTGACTTTAGCTCATACAAATTAAAGCAAGTTTTTTCTATTTTTTGTTTAATCAATGCATTGTTTGATTTGACCACGCAATACGAAAAGTAGCGGGAGAACAACTTTACATTTTTTTATCTGTAATAAAACATCAGAGTTTAATATTGCTTCTATTAAAATTAAATCTCAAAATTACATGCCCAGATGCCCTTTGAAAACAAGAAAAATAATTTATCGATTATTTCATGAGTCAGACAACTTGGACAAGGACTGCGTTTTTAATTATACGGTCAACTATCAAGTTTTCATTGTCCTTTTGGATTTGGTCATGTGGCTTTGGGAAAACTCCAAAGCATTATCTCAAAAGAGACCCAAAAAGAAGGAAAAATTAATAGGTATTTTATGATCATTTTTCCTAATTACTATTACTAAAACTATATATAAATATACAACAGAGAATAGACGCAGCTTCAAAACCAACTCCCACATAAATACACAACAGTATATCATATACTAATTATTTACTCCCCTTATCAATATTATAAGGTAAAATGAAAAAAAAAATTGCCCTCTTTATAAGTCATATAATTAAACTTTTAACACAAATTTACTATTTTGCCTCTCATTTATTATTGTATAAATTATTATTATTTTTTAGAAGTGTATATGTTAAATGGAGTAAAATTAAAAAATTGTTAACTTTTAAACAAAATAATGAGAGTTTACAAAAAAAAAAAACAAAGTTAATGAGAGTAAATCATTTAAGTTTTTTTCTTGGTTATATATTATTAGAAAACTTGACATAATAAATATAAAAAAAATTAACGTAAATATTTTTATTATTAATCCCAATAAAATATATTGAAAATAACATACTATATACCGAGGCAACTTCAAAACCAACTCCCCATATATATATAGAGAGAGAGTAGTGTGTGTATGCATGCTAATTAGCTGATAAAGCGGCTTCTTTATGGTTAATGAGCTCTCTTAATTGACAATAAATTAGTTTATCATTGTCAGCTTACGCTTACGTTATGAATTATTGCCAATTTTAAGTAATTTATTTTACTCCCTCTTCTCATTCAACTATGATGATGTCACTATATAATCAGGTTGCTCATTCTATGTCTCTTTCTTCTGTGTGTTGTGTGTGTTTTGTGGTTTTCCAGGTACGCGGATTGTTTTTCTTAGCATTGAATTGCAGCGAGTTGGTACTCCTCCGATTAATTAAAAAAGTTAGACCTATTATATTATATAATATAATTTGCATTATAAAATAAGTATTACAGTTAGGACCAAAGGAGTAATTTGTATTTAGTTAAAGTAAAAGAGCAAATTACTTAAAATTCAACGACGCATACACAGTGGAAAAAGTAGGATATGTGTGTGTGCTTTTTTTTTTTAAAAAAAATATTAAGTCAAGGGTCGTGGCTTTTCCTCCCACAAAGTTGACTTCTCTGAAACTCGAACTCGAAACCTGAAGAGATCTAGCTAGCCTTATATTAGAGTATGTGTCTTTCTATAACTCAAATAAATAAGTATCATATAGATCAAATTAATACAAATAAATAAATCATGCCGTGGGTGTATAAACTGTACATTATAAACAAATTCACTTGTTTTGGTTGAAAGAATAAGAAGGAAAAAAAATATTCTTCAAGTGAAAACATCTCAGTTTTTTATTTTTCTTAACTTGTAAGAAATTTTCTAGAAATAGAATATATTCCCATTTGAGGTTAGAATGCTAGATAACACATAGACAACCTTCTGTCTCTATCATCAGAACAAATCAATCAATATAAAATATACGAGTTATAACCAATCACACTACTTTAAAAAATAAAAAAAAATCATGTTATTTATAAGTCATAAACCTTGTTTTGAGTAAATGTATAAAAATATATATCATATAAAATCTTATATAAATCACATTAATCATTTATAACTTCTAGATTATAAATAATACAATTTTTTTGGTAACTTAATATTCATTAGCCATGTGAATAGTGGGACTTGGTTCAACTCGATGCCCACTTTTATTCTATTATCATCATTATCATTTTAAAAGGGAATAAAGAAAGGAACCTCATATCGTAGGGAGAGGCGGTGTCCTGGAGTAACGGCCAGCGAGAATAACTGAATTTTAAAAGGGAAATCAGAGTACTAAAACTAAGAGGTTACTTGGGGTGCAAGCAATCAGGTCAGCACCTCACTATTCTCCACCCCCACCGCGTAAAAATGATACACTGGTCAACACCTAAAAATGCGTAATTTAAAACCTTTATGAGTTGCGTTGCCAGTGCCTAGCATGAAATTTCGTGGGGGAAAAATTAATATCTTGGGTATACAATCTAGTTAACTAATTTGTGAACATTATTGATTACGTTGATTATTTTATCATTATTATTATGTAAAAAATTTGTGCCATTTCCCTTAAAATACTGCTCCTCTAACGGGGGTATTAAATGTGAGAAATGAAAAGAGTGAAGTTAATTAGGATAATGTGGGGGAAATATTAAACGAGGAAAACAAAGTAGACAGCATCATGTACTATAAGACCAAACCACATCCACAAACTAAATTGATTTAGGGGTGTCTGGGTAAAAGCAAAACCATGGTTTTAAAAGTGCTTTTATGATATACGAAATAAATAAATAAAAGAGTTTGCCTTGATTTGCGGAAAAATACTTTTGAAAAGCAATTTTAGCATAACCCAAACACTCCTTTAGGGGTATATCCAAAACCGAGGAAAAATATATAAAATAATAGGCATTGTAGCTTGTTTTGATTTCTTCATAGTCAAGCAAACTAATGTAACAACTTTGGCATCAAATTAATATATGTATATATGTATCTATGTATATGCACTTTGTTCTTTCTTGCCTTTCATGTATGCTTCAATTTTTGACCAAGTCGTAGTTCAGCTGGTCCTTGAGAAGCCTACGCTTATGAAATAATAAAACAAGAAATTAAAATTAATTACGCCAGCTGAAAATGAAACCAAGTCCCATGCTCATGTCCCATTATAATATACAAATGTCATATATCATGGAGTAGTTTCTATCTGTTCTTTTTTTAACATTATTTGCTCATGTCAAAACAACTAATTCTTTAATTAAATATTAACACCTGCATTTATCATTGGTTAACTGAAAAAAATCTAGTAGTGCTGAGATTTAATTGAAAAATTGGTTGAAACGAACAAAAGCAAATAGATTTAAGTCGGCTTCTTCCCCTTGGTCTCTAATAACGTGAATCTTAGAGAGTTAGTCTTTGGCATCATGCCAAAAGAACAAAAGGAAAAGAAATCATAAGAGTTAGTCCGTGTGGCTGTTAGAAAAATCTGCATCTTCTAAGCGATAATTGAAACTTACAATGTTATTGTCGAACCTGAACAAAGCCCGTAAATTTCAAAGAAACTACATGACATTAAAATCCGAACTAAGGTTGTTGCAGACTCAACAGAACAAGAAGCTCACACAATGACACAAGGATCCAATCCAAGAGTAGCAGAATGAGAAAGTAACAATCAAGAAAGTGGCTTACATATATGAATGATGATATCAAGAAGTAAGATTAGTCCTCAGGTGAGAGATGACCCAAGGCCAAGTTAAAAATCACACACTAATCCCAAGCAAAATGGATAGTCCCCAGGTCGTGTCAAAAGTCAAAAGGCATGCAGGAGTTAAATTTCGGGTTGCAGCATTTCAAAAACTTGAACCACAAATAATGCAGAAACCACCCTCAAAAGCCCAAATACACCAAAAGGAAAAACAAGCCGATCAAATTCACCTCTCCTATAGTTCTGTGAAGTTCAACAATTAAACAATTATCATGATAGATACACGAGCTCTGCAAGTTTCAGCATATCGTCATGATAAACTCCAGAAAATCATTAGTTGAAATCACCTTCTCCACTCTGCTTGAGTTAACTTTCCTGCGAGATGAGCAAACTACTTTATGCCTATCAATCATGAAAACATAAAATAAAACAGCATATTTCAGATCGATTTTAATTTTCAGGCTGTTTCCACCAGAGTTGTACTGTTTTGAAACCCAGGATGTTGTGTAACAAAAAGCGAAACGAACAAAAACCAATAGTTTAACTTTAGTACTGCTTTGCTTATTCTGGTCCATGCAATTCCAAAACTTAGAACGCTAGTTTGCAAGTGAAGTCATCATCATATGTGACATATCAATCCATTTTATCTAAGAAATATATCGTACCATTAGCACTTCTGGAAGAACCTGTTGCTCTGTCAGTCCTGTGTCCCACTTTGCCTCCTGCTTGAGCTGGTCTGTGTGTTCTTGGCGAATGCGAACTAATTTTACTGTTATTTGAAGATGGCAGAGAATGCCGCCTGGTAAGGTTGCTTCTCTCACCACCATCTTGTCCTAACCTTGGGGACCCTTGTGCTCTCAACTTTGCCTTGGCAGATTCAGTAGCCGCCATATAACTTGGTAAAGTGGGAGTTGGGCTATTCTGTAAACCATCCTCCACAGGTTCCTGCTTAGCTAGAGCTGGGGATTTCCCACTGGCTTTCTGGTTTTCATTTCTGGTTGAATCTTCCTTAAGACTCAAATGCCCATTTATTAGGGGAGAATTTTCATCATTACAACTCTCGTGTGGATCTTTTAGCACTTTGGCATCTTCTTCACCAGAATTGTTTTTCCATCTACTTGTATTCTCTCTCAAGGGTGCCGAATTGATGGGCACTTGAGTATCAGGAATGTTAGACGCCTCCTTGCCAACTGAAATTCTAAGTGTAACTTCTCCATTAGGCTCATTGGACATGGCCAATGTTGTGTCCATTTTTATCTTCTCATTGGAACAGCTTTTGATCCCATCTTCTGAAACACAATAGCCTGAGGTAACTGCTTCCTCTTCCGGATGCTGCTTCGCAGTCTCTGATTCAACTTCTGACTGAGCAGAATTCTCTACAACAGGGTTACTAACCTTTCTCAAGTTACGCTTAACCTTCTCAAACTCATTTTCTGAACTTTCCTGCACTGGATCTGTGGGCTTGCTTGAAACTTTTCTCAGGTTTCTTTTTGGCTTCTCAAAATCAGAATTTTCTCGCATTAAGACCAAGTCTAAACTTGTAGAAGGAATCTTCCAGTTAGCACGTTTTGGTTTGCTCATCTGAGCATCTCCATTTGAAATATTACCCAGCTTTCTCTGAGATTTAGAGTCTATGAGTTTCTTGGGTTTGGGAACTGGTTTCCAAAAGTGAGATGCTGACCAGCGCTCCAACCAACCTAGGACTACATTTTGATCCCCAGATGCGTATTGAAGACGCGAAGCAGTTTTTGCAGTTGATGAAGCAAGAAGCTGAAACAACAAACCAAATTTGGCCAAGACAGATCAATGATGCAGCTTTGAAAGTCCCTCTGTTTCCAAATTAAGCTATGGTAAACTAGGATCAAGACATGAATGAAACTTGCGCATAACTCACATGGGGACTGATTTAGGAATAGAGTTTCATCATTTTACAATAACAGACCATAAAAGCATGTCTATTATATTACAGAATCATACTATAATTCATTGTTAAAATAACACATATCCAGACTCAGAATCCACGAATACAAAATAACTTTACCGGTTATCCCAAGCATAACATAATTCAACTTACCTTGTGGATAAAAACATTCGCTGACGTATTTGCAATTTTTGCGGTTAAGCCAACTGAGTTGCCGCACTTGTCAACCTGAAGCACAACATATTCAGGAGGAAAAAAAAAATCAGTAGAAACGATGTTTGAAAGATATGATATGATAAATGTAGCACAAAGTCATACTCTCTCTCTCTGCATTGACTTATGAAGCAATGATACCCTGTGTTTCTATCTTAATAGTGCATTACACAGACAGTACCCACCGATTAACAGACTATAGTTCAAAAGTTCGCATAAAACTAGACACTGTCCACGCATAAACACTTCAGCTTTTATTTTCATGAAAACTCAAATAACATTACCCACCAAGACAGTTAGGCACATTATGAAGTATTCTCTTCATCTCTTGACATGCATGAAGTTTCAAATAACTACTACCCACTGACTACTACTCCCTATTATAGGCTCAGGTTTACATGATCAAGAACGCATGTGACTGAATTCCTGGAAGAGCCATAGTATAAATCTTTGGTGGAGTTTCATTATTCTTTAGTCTTTTTTCATTTGAGAAGCTTTCATTGGATAAATCTAAAATAATATAAATAATATGACCTAACGTTGATTATTGAAAATCAAGACAGAATTTAGCACTATGAAAGCATTACCAGAGGCTTCACAAGATTGCATTTCCCATGCATTTCATGCCCAACATCAGACTGCCTAACTCTTCGACCACGAACAAGTGCTTGTAACTTGATAATCCCATACATGCAACATAAAGTAGAAATAGCTTGCCTCCTAACCAAGTGCCCTCGGACAAGTGCTTGCAACCTTATTATGCCTTTAAGAGTCCTGAAAGCCCTGCGAGCCTTGACACCAGTCACTTCCATTAGTTGAGGCATAAATCATGACAATGAGAATTCCAAAATAATACGTCCAACAAACTTAAGAATGCTGTTATTGACAACTGTTTCTGAAGACATTTACGAGAATTGTCAGAACAGAAGCAGTAAAGAAGATTGACAGCTGCGATCATTTTCTTGATGAGCATTACAGCTGTGGGAACAAGGCAGAATGAATGTCCAGCAGAAGATCAACAAGAAATTTAAGCTTCAACATAAATTGAATACACAATTTTTTTTTTTTATTGAAAATTTTACTAGTGAGAACCTGATAAATTTTTATATACACAAAGTACTGGTACTTTGCAAATTTTGTCCACAGAGAGTACCAGTACTTTGATTTAGGTCCTTCTCATCAATAAAAATTTCAATGGAAGACTTTTCCCTCATTTTCCCTTTTTCTCCAGTTGGCACTGAGAACATTCACTTGAATGCTTCTGGCTATACACCACTACATCAGATACAGTAAGCAGTTTAAACATCAGTTGGTTTTAACCCTGCAATTCAAGTATCGCATTAGATTTGGTTTTCTTAACTTCTCGATTCCTTGTTCCAACAAAGCCTTTAAGACAGATGTCACCAGACTCTAATTCACGACATCAACAGTAAACAAATTCCATACAGTTATTATATTTTTTGCAGCCTGCATTTATGTCATCTTCGGGATTACACTTGAGACAACCATTTTTCCCCCGAGATACATTTTCAATTGAAGCATTAAGAGTATACATGAAAATTACCAAATAACCCCTGAAAGTAGCTTGCACCTTCATTACAGCTTCCTCCCGCTTAATTTTGTCTAGATCAGGAGGTAAAGTAGCCTGCATCTTAATTGCAGATTCCTCCTGCTTAATTTTGTCTAGATCAGGCAGTGAAGTAGCCTGCATCTTCATTGAAGCTTTCTCCTGCTTAATTTTCTCTAGATCGGGAGGTAAAGTAGCCTGCATCTTAATTGCAGATTCCTCCTGCTTAATTTTGTCTAGATCAGGCGGTGAAGTAGCCTGCATCTTCATTGAAGCTTTCTCCTGCTTAATTTTCTCTAGATCAGGAGGTAAAGTAGCCTGCACCTTTGTTGCAGATTCATCCTGCATAATTCTCTCTGGATCAGGAGGGGCATCTTGATGATCAGATCCTGCAATATCTGCTTGATTCTGCAGCAAAAGATTTTCTGATCCATTATTTTCCACTTCTGGATCCCTCTCACTTCTAGCAAAAGTAGTGGGAGTTGGATCAAAAGAGAACTCAGTTTCTGATGCCTTGGAAGCAATAGGCGCTTCTTTCTGTTTAACAAGTTTCTACATTACAAAGTTTTAAAAGTCAGGATTTTCGATGAAATAAGCAAAAACTTAGTCCCACAATGACATAGCAGAGTATTACCTCTCTTGCTTTTGAAATATTGGATTTGGATGACTTTTTCCCAAATAGCACAGTTTTGATCCATTTTCCCGGTGTCTTCCCCATGATGAGGTCTGGACCTGTAAAATTAGAAAGGGTGAACCTGGTCTCTCTGCATCAATTTGCATGGACATTGTTTACATAAAAAATTAAATAATGACTGCAAACAAGAATAATTCACTAAATCAAGATTCCAGCTATAGACGATCATCAAATTCAGTTATTTCAGTGCAACAAAGATTTTAGTTTCTTGCTGAGATTTTCATGTTTTTTTTCTTAAGTTTGAGATGGGGAGTGTTGCCATATATGGTTCAGATACGCAAGTAATCTTTTTTAGTTTATAAGTAAAGAAACTCAATAACTTTATCCCTAATGTCCAAGCAAGAAGTTCTGAAGGCTCTGAAACAGTGTCAAGTGAAGCAATGACCATACAGCACATAAATTGAAACCAGATGAATCATTTATGCTTATCCATATGGTGCACTTCACTCATTGCTGTGACTGTAATATCAAACGTAAGAACTAAGAAGAACTAATAGGCTTAAATATTAAACAACTTTTTGGGGTTTCCGTTTTTGGAATTGAGATTTTTGGTATTGACTCTTTCATTTATGTTCCTGGAATTATGTAATTCATCTGAAGTTGTATAATTCATGTAATAAATATAGTTCACCGCACTAGAGTTTGAAAAGCCACGAAGGTTAGTACAAATAGAGTTAAGGGTTTAAGAGTTTGACGAAGAGGGAAATCACAGGAGTAAAGTTTCATATATAAAGAGTAATTTGAGTATTTTCCTTTTTCCCAGTAAGGGTTGAGCATATTAGAGTGTGATCTCCAAGCATTTTCCGCTTTCTGGCAGAAACATGTTTTTCCCAATAATAGCATTGTTTAAATGAGCTAGTTAAACAAAGCACATTGCAAATAAGCAAATCAAGTTTTACTTTCCGACCTCCCAAAGAAACATTTTTGCGACAGTTTTTGTCAGGAAAATGTACAATTCGTTCAGCATTAATCAACCTGGGACGCTATAAGTAGAAGTTGTCGTTTTAGTCAAAGATGGTTATTTCCAAAGTACCTAAAACGATTACGAAGAAGGCAGGGAATACCAAGATGTGACAGACTGGTTTAGGCATGGTTCATATTGACAAAAGAGAAAAAGAAGCAAAGGAAAGTCCTTAAAGACATCGAGAATCCGTAAAACCCCCAAGATCTACTGCTCATTAAAATACGAAACACACTGCTACATTTCTGAAAGTCTGAGATCAAACTTAACGAGGTCAATTCCAGCTAGATCTACCCAGTACCAGGCAAATGCAGAACCTATCTTCACCCAAGTCTATTGTTCCTGAAATCCCGAATCAAACCATGAGAATACAAAATGTGCATGAACTGATTCCTAGAAGAACGTGATCATATGTACATTGGAGTAGACGAGAGTTAGAACAAAAGCAAATGTGGCTTACCATAGAAGAGAGTCAGAGAGAGACCTTGAAACCCAAGGGAAAAAAAAAATGTGATCTTTAAAGCTCCATCAATTTTCTGCTAGCTTGCTGAGTTGCTTTATGCCCTCTGCTGGAGAAGCGAAGAAAACAAAGTCTGAAACTGAAAAAGTTGGCAAATTTGGTCGAAAATGAACCCCCTATAGTCAGAACTCACTGAATGTCATGTAGCCAATCTCAATTTCACCGCTAGATGTAATGGCTTATGATTGACATTAAGGCTATTGACCAGAGAGGTGAAAAATTGTCTGATCGGACGGTTCCCACGATAGTATATGGTGCGCTTGAGCACATATGATATCAAAGTCGAGATTCGGGATAGTGAGTGGACGTGTGGGGACTGGGGAGTCCCAGTGCAGTTACTTCGAAACCAAGCGTTTCAGCTTCTTTATTCGGAAGCATTGCAAAATTACGCTTCCATCCTCCTTACCAAAAATGGGTAACACACTCAAAAGCGCGTGCAAATAATATGGACCGTTGATGTGATGGGCATGTCCCCGGACGACCATGAGTGGACGGCGCGTGGAGTTTGGAAAGGTGAGGCAGGAGGGGGGTTACGGTTGGTACGTGGGAGCCACGCTGGCGGGTAGGACAAGGTGGGGGGATGAAGTGAAGTTAGGAGGCAACGTGGGACAAAAGGAGCAAGGAGGATAAGAGCCACGTCACTGAGTAACTGTCAGCAGCAAACCAGGTGATTGCTGCAATAATCTTATGCAGCACAATTATGTTTTCTGACACAAAAACCAGGTTTAGTTTTGCAATAAGACAGTGATTACATTTTATTCCTTTTTAAGTTGTTCTCTTTGGTCTGGTGGTTAATCGAGTGCTTTTGTCCGTCTTCACCTAACAACACAACATTAACCAATCAAAGTTGCAATCACAGAACCTCGCGGGGTTAGGTCGACTGGCTGGGGTCGTCCTAACTTAACCACGGATCTCGGGTTCGAGACGTGGGAACGCAGCACTCCAAGGGGTCAGGGGGTGCCGTCCGTATGGATCCTTGCAAGCCCCTGAATCCGGATTAGTTTGGGGATGTTGTCACGGCTGAAAGACGCCTATTTCCCTGGGATACCGGATGGAGTAATCCAAAAAAAAAAAGTTGCAATCACAGTTATTGTACTGTTATCATTATTCCTATCATCCTTGACATGATATATCAACTCACGTTATTTAATCTAAAATACAAACTCTTATAATTAGAATAGAAAGTAATAACAGTTTAACAATTAAAATAATTTGTTAGAAGATTTAAATAAAGAATACACACAAATATTTCAATACATAAGAAATTTTATATTCATCTTTATTGATTTTCTCAATATGTAGGAAACTTTATGCCTTTCTCAACCAAATATAAAACATTTATAGAGACGAGAATTGAGCAACAAGTCACACACACACATAACTCTTTTGCAAATTTAAAATTTTTAGTCGAGGTTGACCTTGATCCTTCTTTTATGCTTGCCTCCGCCAAAGAGCTTGGCTTTTATTGCATTTCAGCTAATATTTTAATAGACATCATTCTCACATATAGATGTGACAGCAGGTATCAAAGCCAAGAAGAAGAGTAGCAATGGGAACTAGACAAGATAGCATTTGACTCTGTCTCGGTGCCAATACTCGTTGGCAACTTGAATGGATCACAGAAGGTACCCACAAACTATTCCCTCTGATTTTTAATACGAAAGTTATATACTCCTCAAATCCTAAATATAAGATCCTTATACACACTAGTATAAGAGTATTATATTTAGAACCAGAGGAGTAATTAATTTGTAAAAATTAAGAAAATAATTTAAATTAATTATTTGTTAAAAATATGTGTTTGTTTTGTCAAAATACCTTTTTTACCAATTTGCATTATAATTATTTCTTGATAATCTTTTAAACACATGTAATCAATATAAATATTTTGAGACAAAAATAAATTAAGAAAGAAAGTGGATTAATATATAATATTTAGGATAGGGAGAATCTAAAAAAATACTTTTAAATTCTAAAATTTTAAATCAGTTTTGTTCACTATATTTTAATAGCAATTAACTACTATATTTGAAAAGTAGATGATAACATATTTTTATAGTGATTCTTGATTTGAAATTTTAAAATTTTAAATGTGTTTTTTTAAAATGTTTCCTTTAGGATAAGTCTTTGCTAGTTCATATGCTTACTAAAGAAAGCACTACCTCTGGTTCTTAATATAAGATCTTGTTTGATTTTTATTTTCATCCTAAATATAAGATCCTAACCCACTTTGTCTCTCATATTTATGTATTTTTTTCAAGATAGTCCTTTTAACAATGGTAATTATAACCAATACATTTGATTAGCAAGGATATTTTAAAAAAGATAATACTCATCTGGTCCTTAATATAAGACCCATTTAACTAATTTGATTAGATTAAGGAAGTTAGGTAAGTTAGTTAATTATAAAAAAAATGAAACGTTTTTCCTAAAACACCATAATCATCTTTCTTAATACCCCCTCTCCCTCTTCTACTTGATTATGATTAAGGGAGTATCTATAGGGGTAATTTAGAGAAAATTGATAAATATGATAAATGGGTCTTATATTTAGGACCAAAACCAACTCATGAATTGGGTCCTATATTAAGAACCGGAGAAGTACCTATTTATTACAAATAACTAACTTAATTTTTTTCTTAATCTTCTCAAATTAGTCAACTAACTCTTATAATTAGGATCGGAGGTAGTAATATATGATGATAAGTTTTGTGTTTTTTTTTTAAGACCTTGCATGATGATAAGTTGATAACTTGGCAATAATTCACCTCATTAAAGATTATATATAAAGAGAGAAATAAATTGAATGTTAAAATAAAATAATGCTGAATGGAAAAAATATGATGGAGGAAATTGCACATACGCGTCCGGGTTCAAGGCACGTGTTTGAGGTTTCATTAAACCATGTCTTTTGCTCATTCAATCCACAAGTTTAGTCTCTCCATTTTGAGGCAAAATGCTGGTGTTTTGTGGCAGCGAATGGAAGAGGCAGACAAGACAAGCCGAACCCAACTCCCCCAACCGTTCTCCATATCATCCTTAACTTCAACCGCATAGAATAAATTCTTATCTTCCATATGATGTGACCAACCAACGTTTGAATATCTGTATTTAATACTCCATAGTATCTCAAACAATATTATTTTTTATAGGAGATACATGTACCTGGCCAAAAAAAAAAATCCCGTGACACTACCATGCGATTGTTGGGTGCCATCTCCCAATCCATATCTGATTCTTAGTTTTTTTTTTTTTTTTGCATAGTATGGGAAAATGGTACTATCTCTGATCCTACATACTACCTATGATCCTTAATATAAGAGTCAATTGACTAATTTGGGTAGATTAAGGAAGTTTGTTAATTAGTTATTTATAATATATAGATATTATCTTTCCTAAAATAATTTTACTAATCATATGGATTAACTAAAATTACCATTTGATAAAACATTTAACATGTGCAACTATTATAAGAACTATTTTAAAAAAAATAGATAAATATGAAAAATAAAATGAATTGAAGTCTTATATTTAAGATCAAATTGAAATTCAAATTA